TCAAGCATTAGAAAAACAAATATCCGAAAATCTCAATTCTTCGAGTGAGGAAACTTGGGCGGCACTTAATGAAAAGAAATCTCAGTTAGAAGCGTTACGGAAATCAAAGTTAGAAGGAGTGATGTTAAGATCGAAATACCGTTATGAAAATTTAGGAGAAAAACCTAGTAGTTATTTTTTAAATCTTGAAAATAGAAATTTTACAAAAATAAATTAATAACAAAACTGATTATGGAAAACAATGAAGAAATAAGAAATACGAAAGATATACTCAATTTTCAAAAAGATTATTACGAAAGATTATATACAGAAAATTCAAATATAGATGAAACTCCTATAAAAGACATCATAGGGGAAAATGAAAATAAATTAACTGAACTTGATTCTCAAATGTTAGAGGACGAATGGACAATTGATGAGTTAAATATTGCTTTAAGCAACATGAAAAATGGTAAAAGTCTAGGTTTAGACGGATATACAGTTGAATTTTTTTACATTTTTCTGGAAAGATCTCTCAATTTTTGTTATGCTCCCCGAAAAATTTCGGGGGAGCATATAGTCGCCGCCTTGTCCGTCCGTCCATCCGTTCGTCCGCACTCACAGGAGAGTAATTATGTGACTAGAGGGACAATAGGTAACTGTTCTTTCTCTTTGATGTCATTCATTCCGTAATGCTTTTATGTGGCTATTTTCTTTTGTGTGGCTAAAAAGAACAATAGAGAGAACAATAGAGTAGCCACATAATTACTGTCCTGTGAGAACGTCCGTCCGTCCGTCCGACTCCTTTTCTTGTCCGAGACATAACTTTGAAACAACAAGAGGTATCAACATGAAACTTTGTAGGTAGATAGATCTCATTGAGTAGGTGTGCAGTTTACAAGAACCGTAACTCTGCCTTGCCTATTTTTTTAATTATTCCCCTTTGTTTATTTTTACACTTCGAACTTTGTCCGGGACATAACTCTAAAAGTATAAGAGGTATCAACATGAAACTTTGTAGGTAGATAGATCTCATTGAGTAGGTGTGCAGTGAAGAAAAACCGTAACTCTGCCTTGCCTAATTTTTTAATTATCCCCCTTTGTTTATTTTACACTTTGACTTTTGTCCGGGACATAACTCTAGATGTATAAGAGGTTTGAAGTTGTTGCCCTTAGTTTATTTTTACTTTTTGACTTTTGTTCGGGACATAAACCTATTAGAGATATCAACCTGAAACTTTGTACGTAGCTAGATATCATTGGATAGAACTGCAATGCTTAAAGAACCTAAACAAGGCCTGGTCTAATTTTGGAGTTATTGCCCTTTGTTCATTTTTTCACTTTGAATTTTATTCGGGACATAACTCATCAGGGAACTTTATAGATAGATATATCTCATTGAATAGAAGTGCAGTGCAGAAAAACATAACTCCGCCTTGCCTAATTTTGGAGTTTTTGCCCTTTGTTCATTTTTTATACTTTCCTGTGTCCAGAAGCTTCTCGGGGAGCATCACCCGGTTCAATCGGTTCTTGTTTCAAAAACTCTTAACTTTGGCTACTTTAATGATAGTTTATCTGTCACTCAGAAACAAGGAGTTATGGCGTGTCTGCCTAAACCGAATAAAAGTAGATTTTTTATGAAGAATTGGCGCCCAATAACACTTTTAAATGTAATTTATGAAATGGCTTCTGCTGCTATAGCAAACAGACTGAAAAGAGTTTTAAACAAAATTATTTGCCAAGATCAAAAAGGTTTTATCTCAGGAAGGTGTATTAGTGAAAATATCAGATTGATATATGATATTCTTTTTGAAACTAAACAAAACGATATACTAGGTCTTTTACTATGTATAGATTTTCAGCAAGCTTTCGATTCAGTTTCTTGGCAATTTATTCAGAAAACTTTAGATTATTTTAATGTTGGTCCCTCTTTCAAAAAATGGATAAATCTATTCCAAAATGGGTCAGAAACCTGTATCATACAAAATGGTCATTTATCAGATTTCTTTAAAGTTAAGCGTGGTGGTAGACAGGGAGACCCAATTTCACCTTTAAGTTATATCTTTATATTATGTGCGGAAGTTTTGGGTTCAATGATTAGGAAAAATAATAATATTACTGGCATATCGATTTACAATAAAGAATATAAGTTAAGTCAGTATGCAGATGACACACAGCTGTTTTTAGATGGAACTGAGAAATCATTAGAAAATTGCTTGATAAATTTTATGCTATTTCTGGTTTAAAGATAAATACTGAAAAAACAAGGGCATTTTGGATAGGGTCGAGAAGAAATTCAAATATTAAATTATGTCAACAGATTGAATTAGACTGGTCTAAATCTCCAATAGAAATATTAGGAGTAATATTTTCCGCAGACGTTGAGAACATTTGGGACATAAACGGACATGAAATTTTTAAGTTAATAAATCTCAAAAATTAATAAATGTATGGTCTAAGCGTAATTTAACTCCTTTAGGAAGAGTCACAATTATAAAATCTTTGATTATTTCAAAATTTGTACATTTGTTTATGTCATTGCCAAATCCTTCAGATGATTTCATTAAACAAATAGAAACATTATTATACCAGTTTTTAGCTCGACTATTCGAAGAATATGAGAGCTATTGTAGTCGCCCCGGCGTCGGCGTCGGCGTCAGCGTCCGCGTCGGCGTCTGCGTTGGTTAAAGTTTTTTGTAAAGTCAAATATCTCAATTATTGCTTGAGATATTCAATTGAAACTTACAATACTTATTTATAGTAACAAGGTACATCAGATTGACAAGTTAGATAACTCTGCCTACAATATTGACAGAATTATGCCCCTTTCTAACTTAGAAATTTTGGTTAAAGTTTTTTGTATAGTCAAATATCTCAATTATTGCTTGAGATATTCAATTGAAACTTACAATACTTATTTATAATAACAAAGTACATCAGATTGACAAGTTGGATAACTCTGCCTACAATATTGACAGAATTATGCCCCTTTTAAACTTAGAAATTTTGGTTAAAGTTTTTTGTATAGTCAAATATCTTAATTATTGCTTGAGATATTCAATTGAAACTTACAGTACTTATTTATAGTAACAAGGTACATCAGATTGAGAAGTTGGATAACTCTGTCTACAATATTGACAGAATTATGCCCCTTTTTAACTTAGAAATTTTGATTAAAGTGTTTTTGTATAGTCAAATATCTCAATTATTGCTTGAGATATTCAATTGAAACTTACAGTACTTATTTATAGTAACAAGGTACATCAGATTGAGAAGTTGGATAACTCTGTCTACAATATTGACAGAATTATGCCCCTTTTTAACTTAGAAATTTTGATTAAAGTGTTTTTGTATAGTCAAATATCTCAATTATTGCTTGAGATATTCAATTGATATTTACAATACTTTTTTATAGTAACAATGTACATCATTTTGCAAAATTGCATAACTCTGTCTGCAATATTTGAAGAATTATTTGCCCCTTTGAAACTTAGAAATTTTGGTTAAAGGTTAAAGGTCTTCGAAACTTTACACATGTACTTAGGGTCATAATTTGAGGGTCATAACTGTATGTCACTGACCAAGTTCCATAACTCTATCTTGTATTAAGACTGATTCATATCCCCTTTTCTACTTTGTCTCCTGGTTAATGTTTACATGCAAGTTTTACATATCTCAATAACTATTAAAGATATTTATTTAAAACTTCACATATGCATTTAGGGTCAGAATTGTAGGTCACTGACAAAGATCCATAATTCTATCTTGCATTTAGGCTGATTGTTGTTCCCTTTTTCAACGTAGAAATTCATGGTATTAAAAGTTTTGCTTGTAAGCTGTTATCTCCATAACTACTGAAAGGTTTGTGCCTTTTTTGGGACAATTTTATGCATTCATAATAATAAAGCAGTGATTTACTTGATAAAACATCTTAATAACAAGCCTTTGTACCTTTTCTGTCAATTTAATGTATGCATAGGTAATTAGTATTATTATACTCAATAAAACACCCTTGTGACATTACCTTCAGAATAGTCAAGCCAATACTGTATAATTAGACTCTTTCTAAGGCCTATAACATGAATTTATAAAAAAAGATTAGTCCTTTTGTGAACTTAGAAAATTTAAAATTATCAAGGCTCTTTTACTATCAAGCACTTAGAATAGTCGAGCGTGCTGTCCTACCGACAGCTCTTGAAACATGAGTCTTTTTTAACAGTTTGCTTTTCTTATTTTATAGATGTGATAAACAGAATATTATATTCTTGTATATTATTCAGTACTAAATTTATAGAACTCGTTGAATAAAACAATATAATTTTATTCAACTCGTTCAATAAATTTAGTATTAAACTTCTTTTATTCAATATCCTCAATATATTTATAATCACTTGGTGTCATATCCAGATAAAATTTAAAATCAGCTACTACTATATTTTAGAGGCGGGTCAGACAGCACAGATGTTAAGCTGGCCTGGCTCTATACTGGTGGTAAAGGCTAGTTAAGTTTTGCATTCTAGCAGGTTAAGGTTGATATGAAATAATGATACATAGTTTTAAAGCCTTGTTAATATACAAGGAAAACATGATACATAGATTTAAAGCCATGTTAATATACATAATACAAGGAAAACAAAATGTAAAATTGTGCAATTGTTTAATATTAATATTACATCATTTGTATAAAAATTTTCGTGAAAATATCCAGATATACAATAAAGCTTAATGCTTTAGTATGTTTAGCAGAATTTTTTTTTTTACATTTTTAAGCTAAAAGAACAGAACAAAAAAAAACACTTTATAAAAAATGTTTTTTTTTTTGGGGAAAAAAGCACCAGAAACATAGACTTCTCATGAAAGTTTAAATGAATGAAAACCAGTTTTTGAATTAGTAGTATTTCTTTAGTTTAACATGTCATGATAGTTTGTAAGTCCCAGATACCCACAAAGTTGTTGACTAAGGCTTACTGTAGCATTTATTGCAGGTTATTTTTGTCAAACTATGTTTTAAAACCACTCCGACTCGGGAGTGTATCCTTTGCTCGAGTCAAGGTCTATAGAAAGAAATGAAAATATTCACATTAATTTTGAGTCATTTTGGAGAAAAATTAGCATGATTTAATCATTCAGTTTTTGCTGTCTTTTCTGTTTTATTTTCATTGTCAGTGAGAGTGGTGTAACTTATGAAATTCTAAGAGGAGGTACACAGAAGGGCGCTGATAAAATGATTGACAGCTTAGGATTTACCTATACTGTTAAGAAGGTACAAAGAAAGATTTAATTTGTATTACTTCATGCATAAAGCGACCAATCTATGTTATTTATTGTATGTTTTAGCGAAACTGGTGTAACATATGAGATAGTGCGAGGAGGTACATCAAGGGGAAGAGATAAATTGATTGACAGTCTGGGCTTTACTTACAATATGAAGGTACTTTGCTGTTGATAATTGCTTTAATAATATTCTACATGTATGATAAAATGGGAGCAGTTACAATCTGGAGAAACAAAATTATGTTTTCATTTTTTTTAGGGTTTTGAAATATTGTGTTATCACTTGTCTCCTTAGATTTGATCAGTTTAATCAATGATATTTAGTTTAAACATCATTTATTTATCAAAGTTACATCACAATATATATGGATTAATGATATTTGGAAACAGATTTTTGATTTTCAAGAAGTTTTCTATTTTGCCAACATTAAATTACAAAAAGAAGTATAAACATATATAAGTACTATTAGAAGAAAAAAGTTTAATAAATGAACAAAGAAATTAACTTTTCTGTGCTAGATTTAATCTTTCTTGGTTGGGATGCAATTTACATTCTGAGCTGCAAGTTAAAAAATAATTTTCCTGACCATGTTATGTAGCACTATTATTGCATTATTGCTATAAAAAAAATTGTGAAAATATGAACATCTATCAGTAATTGGTCCAGCTGGCCAGTATTGTTGTGTTGTTTGACCGCAATCAAGCCATTGGCTGTCAATGCTAGTATTTTAATAATGAAACCTTTTTAAAGGTTTACAGTAGCTGAAGTCATTGCATAAAAAAAAAACGCATATATTTATACATCATCATGTTACTTGTGTGTTAAAATGATTGTTTTATATGGTTTTATATAGTTTTATATAGAAAGAACTGAAATGGAAATGTTTTGTAAATTCTAGCAAGGAAGAGGTAACAAGAACCTGACATACTGGTGGTGCGCTATACGTAACACTCATTTAAGATGTCCAGCATCGGTCGTACAACGTGGTAATGTGTTCATTAGAGGGAAGAGGAAGCATGAGCATCTAGTCGGACAATCTACACCTAAACCTTCAATACACGGTGCCGTTAAACGAACACCAGTTGGGCGACCTCCAGGCTCTTCAAAGTACATATAATATATTGTAGTAGCAGAAGTAACATAAGAGTTTCTTTGATAATAAAATTGCAAAACATTCACATACTTTAAAAGTAATTACCTGCCGACCAAAAAGCAAATAAATAAGCTTGAATATATCATTGGAAGATTTAACTGATGTCCATATTTTTTCCTAGACAGAGTCTTTGTGACCAAGTGATAAAGATTGCTGTTATTCATTGTTTTTACCTCATTCCTAAGGGGTTGCACTTCAAGTTATTTCGTGTGTGAAAGCAATTCATCAAGCATGTAGCTTAAGGAATGCCAATGTCATACATTGGTAGCAGCTCATCTTTGAGATCAAATTTTATGAATTGTAAGAAGTAGTTTGTTAGAAGAAAGTTGTTAACTATTAAATTTTTTCTTAAACATTTTAAAATCAATGAAATTAACTCTCTTTGGCTATGTTTACTAGGTTATCAATGCAGCCAGCTAAAAAATCTAATACCAGCACGCCGAACTACAGGATAATAAAGGAAGGATCTAAAGCTGGGAAAGATCTACTTAAAGATCGATTTGGCTACACATATACACAGAAAAAGGTAATGAAGTTATGTTTGCATCATTTCCTTCTTCTTTGTTTTGTAGGGGTGAGGTATAGGTATCAACTGAAGCATAATTGATGAATATAATTATGATCTATTATATACAGTTAAACTTCGTTCGCTCGAACTAGGATTGCTCGAATACCTCCCTTCGCTTGATCTCACTGCCCAGTTCTGGCAAAGTTCCTATATAATATTTATTGTTCTACCTCGGTTTGCTCGAACACTCGAACCTGATCTTTTGTCCCTTCGGCAGAAATATAGTGAAAATCGCACCTTTTCGGTCAAACACAAAAGACTACAAAAGTTGTGGGTCAACATGTTCTAAATAAGTGACAGCCAAGAATACATGTATTTAACACCTCATGATAGAGGCAATTAAGGTTAATTGATTCAAAATTAGAGGTGTTGTAACCAATTTGTTATGATAATACTGTTTATTTGCCGTCTTTAGTAACGACAAATAGAAGATAACTCATGAAATAAGTAAAATGTGCAAAAGTCAATAAATAAATGACCTTTACCCGGATGGCTTTAATTACAGCCATAGTGCATGTAACCTGAATTGTATCAGTGTTATCAATTTATAGAATAATACTTGTATAATAAATGACTACAAATAGATGCTGCTGTAAATGTTTTTTTATTCAGTATTTTATTTATTCATTGTTTAAGATAAAATTTATCCCAAAATAAACATAGGAATATATTTTTAACATTGCTCATCAAGTTTGGAAATTGATTGCCCAATCAAACTCAACCAATTTCAATTTGAATGAATATAGATTTACACAGTGTACCGTTAATACTCATTTGCAAACACTGGAATAATAATACTTAATATTTAAAAGAAATGACGTATTCAACGAACTGATGTACAAACAACCAATTGACATATTAAAGCTGGAAAACCTTAAGGTCTATGTCCTACTTGATAATGGTTGAACCGTGGTGGCTCGAATTACCGATCTGTCGAACAAATTTGCACAGGCCATCCGAATTCAATAAAACGAAGTTTGACTGTATTTTCAGTTACTATTACATGTTAAATAAGTTCTGTTTGTGTTAACATGGTTAAAAAAAGTTATGATAAAGAATTTGTTATTGATATTAAGGAATTCATTGTTGAGCTTTTATTGGATTGGGCCAGCATGTTGCCTGCGGAAACTAATGGAAAATTTTGAAAAAAGTCAGAATGGTTTGAGATTGCCACACGTGCTCGAATTTCCTTGTTCTTTTTTTAAGCTCGACTTTTCGATAAGAATAAGTAGAGCTATTGTAGTCATCCAAGCGTCGGCGTAACCACTTATGTTAAGTTTTTGTAATAGTTCAAATATTTTCAAAGTCCATTGACATATGGCTTTGAAACTTTGCACACTTGTTCACCATCATGACCCCAACCTGTAAACAGGAGGAGGTAACTCTGTCAAGCATTTTGACAGAATTATGCCCCTTTTTCGACTTAGAATTTACGTTAAAGTTTTTGTAATAGTTCAAATATTTTCAAAGTCCATTGACATAAGGCTTTGAAATTTTGCACACTTGTTCACCATCATGACCCCAACCTGTAGACAGGAGGAGGTAACTCTGTCAAGCATTTTCACAGAATTATGCCTCTTTTTCCACTTAGAATTTACGTTAAAGTTTTTGTAATAGTTCAAATATTTTCATAGTCCATTGACATATGGCTTTGAAACTTTGCACACTTGTTCTCCATCATGACCCCAACCTGTTAACAGGAGGAGGTAACTGTATCAAACATTTTTTTTACTATCAAGCACTAAGAATAGTCGAGCGTTGCTGTCCTACCGACAGCTCTTGTTATGGAAAAAAGGTCCAGATAAAATTAAAAGATCAGTTATAGATAAAAATATAGAGACAGGTGGTATTAAAATGTTAAATGTTAGAGCCTTTATGAACAGTTTAAAGTTAAGTTGGATTGAACGAAAATGGCGAATCTTGGGTTACCCTCTCTCGTTTGAGTATAACCAAAGTGGTAAAACTTGGTCCTGGTTATGCATCAGTTATATCTGAAGAACTTGCAAATATTTTCTGGAAACAAGTGTTGAAAACATGGACTAACTTTTGCAAAAAAGTGAACATAGAAAGTATCGAAGATATATTATATTCACCATTATAGTTTAACACTAGATTCCGTAACACTAATTTATTTTTTAACAATTGGATACATCGCAATATAATAATTATTATTGGTTTATATGACAATGACGGTAATATTTACAGTATTCAAAAATTGAAAGATATATATAAGATAAGAGGCACATTTTTAGATATTCAACAAGTCATCGAGTCCATCCCTTTTTTATGGAGAGAAAAGATTAGGAACAGTAAAGATAAAGTATTTTTATACAAGCAAAACATTTCATTAAATCCCTATCTTAAATGTGTTATACATAACAGTAAGGGTTGCAGATTCTTTTATGATATCCTTATTGACGCTGACAATTTAGTTGCTCCTAACAAATGGGTAAATTCTGTAGGACCTATATCACAGAAGGAGTTTTTAAATTATTGTACAAGCTTAAATACTGTGAAAGAAATAAAGTTGAAAGATTTTTAATATAAGATTAATCAAAAAGTTCTTGTGACAAATACATTTTTACATCGAATAGATATTAAAGTTTATGATTTATATATGCTCATATTGTAACATTGATAGGGAAGCGATTGAACATTTATTCTATCAATGCCTATATACAAATATTTTTCTTTTAGAATTGTAAGACTGGCTTAGAGAATTTGTTTTGTCGAATTTGATATTTCAGACATGAAAGGCATACTGTTCTCGTATTATGGAAAACATTCCATTTTGAATTTTATAACATTATTAGCAAAATACTATGTTTATAATAAAAAATTTTAGAAAAAACTGTCAAAATTACTTAAATATAAATATGTTTTTAATATACTTAAAAATTAAATTAAAAAATCAAGAATACATAGCTTTTTTAAATGGAGATGTAATTTCTTTTCATAATTTGTGGCAAAATTTTATTAAAAAATTATCCCTTGATAATGAGTAACCTTATATTTTATATCAGAATACCGATAAGGAAATTAAAACAACATAAAAGATTTTTAAAATAAAATCACACAACCTAAATGAGAAACGTACATACAAGCCTCTATACGAACAATGTTGTTGTTTTGTTTGTTTGTTTTTGTTTTTGTTTTGTTTTTTCAATGTGAATTTACATTAATATATATCTTTTCTCATTTATAAGTAAAAAACAAATACTTATGTGCACTTGATTATATTTATTATATATATTAATCTTGTTGCATTATTATGTAGCATGTCATAATTTTATAGCCCATGAATTATTATAATTTACAATTTACATAATTATGTTGTCCTTGTCATATTGTGTATATATTGTTTGTTAGAAAACTTGTAAGGTGAAATAGCGGATGGATCCCCGACCCTATTTTACCTATAGACGAGGATTTTCTAGAATATTTTACGAATTTAACTTTATTTGATACGAAATTTAAATAAATTATCTGTGTACTTTTATTTCAGGTTTTGTGTTTTGTTTTTCCCTTGTAGGTTCAACTTTTAATAATACTCTATGTGTGTTCGAGAAGAACTCACGTCCTGGATATTGATGAGTGTTTGGGAAGCAGACCCGAATACGTTTCAACTGGTGTCAGAAGTGGGAATAAAAGTTATATATTTCAACAGATAGTCTGCAGTTCTAGAACCTGTAGAGACACAAGACCAGAGACGGAAACCATATTTTATTTATCACAATAATACAATTCGTTCCGTTGTATTGTTTTGCAACATCTCGAGTTTCTGCTTTTTATTGTTTTGTTGTCAAGGTGCTGACCATTAACAATTGTTAATTGGATTTATTATAGCTTTCTTCCAATGAATTTTGCTGCCAGCATTCCTGACTGATCAACCTGAAAGCAGAAATTCATTTTACCTTGTTTGATTTATTTTTGATTTTCACTGTACATAATAGTAAAGATAGTTGAAATATTACCAATGGCAGAAAACCAGATAGAAGTTGATACTCTGATTCACAGACCTTATGTGTCAGCTTAGTTTGACATTGTTTCACAATATACAGACCAGTTCTCCTGCTGATATTTCTTATAAAGAAACTAGAATGCTTAGAATAGTGGAACAATATAAAGAAGCTATGTTCTATGTAAGAAACTGTAGAAGATTAAATAGATTTAATAGTATTGAATAGTATTGAAAAACAAATAACGATTTCGAAAACCGAAACAAAATTCAGAAGAACATACAGACAGACGTATATGCTATGGTGACTGGTGACAATAATGTACTTTTACAAAGTAGTATAAATAATAGTACTGTAGTAGTTAAACCACATACCATTGATGGACATGATGACTTAAATGAGTTTCTTATCTCATTTCAAATATGTAGTTACTTGAATAACTGGGATAGCTGATCACAGAGGAATGAACGGGTTATGCCCCGGCAATATTTTAAAAGGAGGTGCCCGTTCCATCTTTACAAAAAAATCTGGAAACAAAGTGATCCCTCGAACTTGATACTGCTGACCGCTGTAATTACAAACTTTAGCAGACTTGTTAACCCAACGTTATGATCCTGCAAATAAAACAGACACTTGATATTAATTAGATTATAGTTAGAAATGAAGGGGGGACAATATCTTAATTTTCCCAAGACATACGGAGACCTACAAGAAATCAATATATTACTAGAACAAGATATGATAGAGCCTTGTCTCTGTCCTTGGTTATCACCCTTAATACTAGTTCAAAATCCAGATGGAAGCACCAGATTTGTAGTTGATTACAAGACCAAATGCTTAAATTCAATATGACAGCAGTCCTCTACCAGAATAGATACATGTTTGGAAGTTTCAGCAAATAATAAACATTTCACTTCTTTAGATATGAAACAAGCTTTTCATTAAAAAGGTATAGCAGAAAATGACAAACCAAAAACTGCATTTTCATTTGCCATGGTTCAAATACATATATGTGTAAAAGAATGCCTTTTGGTTTAAGTACTTGCCCAGCTGTATTTGAGAGACTCATGGAAAAAGTAGTAGCGGGCCCAGCTT